TTTTTTTTTTTTTTTTTAATAGAATAGAATTGAGATATTGAGGGACTATTATAGAAAGAAACTGTTGGCCTTTTTCTTACGTATCTGAACCTTGAACCGGTCGTCAGCCCCATTACAAAGGTTCAAAGCTTAGCACTTAATACACGTTAAAGAAAGTGATTTCATCTGTAAAATAGATTTTAAATCACTTTCCATGAACCATATATGCATGCATACATGTGGTAAACATCAGCTCAGTTGTCATGTTTGTTATTTTATTGAGCACAAGATTCTTGTAATGCATTCGGAATGATTCAGACAGTAGGTGCTCAGATGTAGAATGTATGTGCCCCAGTCCCTGCCTTTAAAGACTTGACAGAGACAAATAAATGGTTTCCTATAATTATCACCTGTCACTTCATGGAAGCAATTTGTAGGACCTGTCTCAGTTCACATGAGCTCCTACTGAACAAATGCACTTCTTTGTCGAGTATGGCTTATGTGGTGTCTGTCATAGTGCCTGGCATGTAGTTGGAATTCAGTATTTGTTTAATGAATGTAATGACAGAATGTTTAACAGTGAAGATAAGCACCGTGAGCTAAAAGATACTCCTCATGGTAGAAAGCTCCCAGCCTATCCCCAGAGAGCCCTGGAGGGTGGGTTGGAGAAGGCACGGGAAGGGTGTTAAGAGGAAGCTGAGAGCTAGAGGAAGTACCTCTACTGCTAGGCAGTAAGCTGAGCCAAAGAAGTCATGACCAGCAGAATTACAAGGTGACTGCAGAGTAGAGATTTTAGCAAAATAGAGAAGGTACAAAATATGCTTGTGTAGCTTCGCTGAAAAGACAGCCAGAGGCTGTCAGGTGGGCAGGTAAAAGTGAGAACACAGACGTACACAGTTATTAATTATAGATCCACCATCCATCATATCACCCAATCTCCCTTCTCACATAAACAGCGTAGTTACTTAGACTATACCTAGCCCCAGACATTGAGGGTGGTGGTTGACTCACTTTCATTAAGATAGGAAGGATCATTGGGCTGGGGATGGTGGTAGCCTCTTTTAATCCCAGCCCTCAAAGGCAGAGGCAGGCAGAAGGCCAGCCTAGTCTAGGTGGTGTGTAACAAAACACCCAGGGCTACGTAGAGAGGCCCTGCCTCAAAAAACAATAGAATCATTGTAATCATCTGTAGAAGGTAAAGGTGACCTACGTTAGTCCACATCAGGGATGTGATATTATTGTCATCATCTGTAGAAGGTAAAGGTGACTACGTTAGCCCACAGCAGGGATGTGTTGTTGATACAAATTAAGAACTGTCAACAGATTTTTATGATACTAGCAAATTCTGAATAATTAAAAAATATATGCAGGGGTTGGGATTTAGCTTCTTGGTTGACCTATTACTAGGCAAGCTTTGAGTTCAGTCAGTAAAATTTCTCAGGAAATTTTTTTAGTAGAACATATTTCATTGTCTACACACTGTTAGCTACTAATCTATAAATGAAAGTTGTAGAGACAGCTGTCGTTTGTGAAGGTCCTTTAAATGCTTTGCCTTAGTGGGATATTTCCTTAACTTTTAAAGTGTCCTGAGTATGTACAATTTTTAATATTAGCACCAAAGAGTTTATATCCAAGTTTTAGCATAAATGTGGATTAGTTTACAGACCTTGAGGATGAGATGTAAATCAACACTTTGGATGAATAAATGAATTAGGAAGTAATGGATTGTGTGTTTGTCATTATTAACTTCAGGATGGCCTTGTTAAAGCTGATATGGAGAAACTGACATTCTATGCGGTGTCTGCACCGGAGAAGCTCGATCGAATAGGCGCCTATCTGGCAGAGAGGCTGAGCAGAGATGTCGTCAGGCACCGTTCTGGGTGAGAACACCAAGTGCTGCTCATAATCTACTGTCCTTGTAAAGTTGGTTCTAGGCCAAGTCATCTTGTAAGTTTCTGTGCCAAGTAGTCATGTCAAAACAATAGACAGCGGATAAAATCTTAAAACAATATGCTCAGAAAACTGTGAAACCCCTGTATTTGCTTTTCCCGTGTCTCAGGTATTATATGGGAACTTGTATAATGAACTGCTAGTTTTATCATCAATTAGTTTTGTTAACTTCTAGTGGAAAATAGTTTTAAAGGTATGGTACTGTGTTTAAAAACCTATTTCTGAACTGAAAGCAAACTAAGATCGTTACCAGGTGGTTCTTGACCCAGCTAGTGTCTTACTTTTAGAGGAGTGAACGTGAATCATGTCATCATGTCAGGCTTAGTGTGTGCCAGCGTCTGTTAATAAAGGAATCCCTGTTCACCATTCTGTCCTTGAAAAGTTACAGCTTTGCAATTTGCATTGGAGATACTTTCTGTTGTGACGCTTTATCACCCTAGTTTCTTAGAGTACTCTGTTCTCCAAGATGTACATTGGCTTGTTGTATCTTTGCTTTGTCACCTCTTAGGACATGTTGGTGGTTTGCACAGGTAGGTTGATAGTTGATCATTAAAAGTTAACTAAAATGGAATCTAAATTGTATTATATGAAATCTTTTAAACCTGTTGATTTATAAGGTGCATTTTATTGAGATATTCCCTTACATTGCTCTGTTGTTGCTGGCACTATTTCATCTATGGATATAATTTATAAATATTTTATGTACAAATATAAATAAAGCATATTGGAAACAGACATGAATTGTAGTAACTACTTAGAACATATACAAATAAATATGATCAAAGACATGGAAGGTATTCATGGTGTTCACGGCAGATTATACAGTAGCTCTCAGGTTTCCAGGAAGTAGAGTAGTGCAGTAGCTTTGGTGGACTCATCTGGAGGACTTGCATATCGAAACCTAGTTTTTACTTAGCTTACTTTGCCTTTCTATGTTCTGTGCATCTAAATAAGCCTTATTATTCCAGTGAAAAGCATTGAGAGCAATTAAGAGTGCTGGAAATACGTTGACATTATTTTCCCTTTAATTTAGGTATGTTCTAATTGCTATGGAGGCGTTGGACCAGCTTCTTATGGCCTGCCATTCTCAAAGCATCAAGCCATTTGTAGAAAGCTTCCTTCATATGGTAGCAAAGCTCCTGGAATCAGGGGAACCAAAGCTTCAAGTTCTTGGAACAAATTCTGTAAGCAGAGCTGTTATTTTCTTACTAAGTTCAACCAGCATATTAGAATTAATCTCTTCTTAGAATGATTCTGTCTGATAGAAGGCAGTTTCCCAGTCAGGGCGTATGAGCAACCAGTACAGGCAACAGTGATTAACTCACCCTGTCTCTAGCGTTGTTTGTTTCTCTTTATAGAACCCCGGGATATTAACCTATCATCATGGAACACCTGCCTCTAAACGAATCTATTCCTGCCATTTTATTGGCTCTGGCTTGCCTAACAGTGCTAACTTTGGGCACTGTTGTCTTATTTTACTGCTTTTCCAAC